TTGATCCGCTTATGCCGATCTACAAACACCAATATTAAACACCATGCTGTCGGTATGCAAATTTGGCCCGAAGTTAAATAAAAAATAAAAAAAAATATGTTAACAAAATTATTACAAAAAACTTTATTCCTTAAAAATCTTTCCTTTTCTAAAAAAAGCTTGTGCTTTTCTACTGAAATAAATAAAAATAATAAATATAATTTATTATTATTTATTATTTTATTTTATTCTATTTATATTTTTATATCAATGTACTATAACATTGTTTATTGTTCTGATGATCCTAAACCACCTGTTAGTTTAACTGTTAATGTTAATGATGTTTTAAAATATGTTGGTGGTGCTAGTGTTATTTTAGCAGCTGGTAAAGCTTCTACATCAGTTTTAAAAACTTTACCGCCACATCAAAGATTGCTAGGTCTTGGTGTTCTTACAGGAGTATCTAGTGGGTCATATATTGTTAGTGAAGGTATAAAAAATTTTAGATCATATATAGAAAAATCTAATAAAAAAAATGTAGATTTATCACTAAATTCTACTCTTAAAGACCTTCCACAAATGTCAAATGTTTCAGCTGAATCTAATATTGTTTTTAATGATCAAAATTTAAAAGTAGGAGTTAATCAAGATCAAATAGTTTTAAGTAAATTTAATTCTAATAAAAATGTGTTAGATAATGCTGCTAATAATAGTGATATTGTCATTAGCTCAATATCTGAAAATACTGGATTTTTACCTGTATTTAGTGATAATCCTTTTATGGAATTACAATATTGCGTATATATGTTTTTATGGTTTTCTTTAGTAGCTTCCATTTGGTTAATTATTAATATCGTTGTTTTAAAATATGGAGATATTCTTATTAATAAATTTAATAATTATAAATATTTATTTAAACTATTGACATTATATAAATCATATAATACTTTCATGCTTTGGTTTTGGTTGTTTATATTAATTTATTCTGTTATTGTATCTTTAATTTGTGTTGGTTTATTAATTGAAAATTCTTCACTATTTATAAAAGATATAAATGAATTTGAAAATTTTAATGTTATTGACAATATAATTGTTTTTGGTACATTGTTTAAAGCAAATTCTATTAATAAATTAAATAATAATAATAATAATAACGATCTAAATACTAGTAATGATTTAAATTATAGTACTATGGATTTTTATACAAAATTAAATGGAAAAATTCCTATTAATCAGTTTGACCCTAACAATTTTGGAAGTAATGGTTTTTATAGAATAAAAAATATTTTATATTCAACATCTTTGGATTTACATGTTAAACAAAATCTGTTAGAAACATGTTTTAAAGAGCTCTGGGAATATGAATTAAAACAATATTTCCAAAATGCTAAATCTTTAGATAATAAAGGTATCTATATTCTAGTTGAAGTATTATCTATATTAGAAAAAGATTTTAATTCATTATTTTCTAATAATAGAATTATGAATAGAAAGGAATATCTTAAACCTATATCTTGTTTAGAAATTAGTAGTATTATTTCTATTTGTTTATCTAAAGTTCTTCCATTTATAGTATTTAAAAATGAAGATTTTGATAAACATGTTACTACTCTCTTTGAGTCTATTGGAATACTTCTTTATAAAGAAGTTATTAAAAATAATTATATAAATTATGTAAATTCTCTATCTGATAAAGAAAGTAAAATTAGTTATAAAGATTATCATTTAGATAATTATAACTATTCAAATGAAGATGCTATTAGATTAGGGGCTTTTGTTGTAATGTTTATTGGAGATAAAACTGATTTATATTTTATTGATAATATTAAATCTGATTCTAATGTTACTAAAAGAATTATCTCTCCTGGAAAACTATTTGAAGATTTAATGCATAAGTTTGTTTTGTTTGACAGTTATGAAGCCCCTATGATTGTAAAACCTGTTGAATGGGTTATTAAAAGCATTGTTAAGTCTTCAGAAGATAGTAAAAATAAAACAATTAAATATGGTGGTTATTTACAAAATGATAAAAACGATTTTGAAGAATTAATTCGTAAATCAAAACAAAGTATAGGTACTTCTATTATATTGGATAATAATATCGTTAGTATGGTTAATTATATGTCTAGTATTCCTTTTAAATTAAACAATAATGTTTTAGAATATCTAATAAAATTAATATTAAACCATGATAATATTGAATCAAATAAAAAAATTATAAATGATCTATGTTTATCATTTCATCCAGAAACAGAATTATTAGATAGTTATAAAAAAGAACTTAATAAATGTATTAATAACAAAAATAACTCTAAAAAAAAATTACATAGTAATATTAATGATTTTAAAAATATTATTTATAATATTACGTCTCATAATAGTAAATTTTTATATAATAAATCTATTTTAACTATGGCTATTTTATATAAAGATATTAAAGAATTTTATTTCCCTTTAAAATTAGATTGGCGTGGTAGAATCTATATTAAAGGAGGAGTTTTAAATATCCAAGGAGGTGAATTAAGCCGATCTTTATTAACATTCAGTAAATCTGTAAAATTAGACGATCTTGGATTAGAAGCATTAAAAATTTATTGTGCTAATTCTTTTGGTAAAGATAAAATGTCTAAATTACATAGATTAGAATGGGTTGATGAAAATATTAATAAAATTATTGACGTTAACTCTATGTTTTGGGTTAATGCAGATGATAAATTAATAGCATTAGCTTGTTGTTTTGAATTAAAAGGATATTATGAGGACCCTGAAAACTTTGAATCTTCTTTACCTATTTTAATTGATGCTACTTGTAATGGACTACAACATCTTTCAGCAATGATCCAAGATATTAATTTAGCTGAAAAAGTAAATCTATTAGAATCTTCAAAAGAAATGAAACCTGAAGATATATATTCTTTTATGATAGAACCTATAAAATCTAGAATAAAAGAATTATCTTTCAAAGACATAGAGTATTCTAAACTAGCTTTATTAAATATAGATAGATCTTTTATTAAAGTTCCAATAATGACCATATCTTATAATATTACACCACACGGTATATGTGAACAATTAATTAGAGATAGATTTATTAAGAAAGATTTAGTCGAAAATATTGATAAACCAAATTCTAAAATGTATTTATATCAAGCAATTGAGGCAGAAAAATATGGTGATGTTTTATTAACAATTAAAGATATATCTAAACTTTCTCATATTATATATGATTCTTTATATGTTTCATATCCTAAATTAAATGAATTGAAAGAATACTTTAACAGTATGGTTAATATATTATCTATTTTAAATTTACCTGTAGTATGGGTTACACCTTCTGGTCTATCTATTAAACAAAAATATGTTGATTTTACAACATATGATATTGTAAACAATGTATTATCAAAAAGAAAAACTATTACATTAAGAAAACCTTTAGATATAATAAATATTAAAAAACAAGAATTAGGATTAATTCCTAATTATGTTCATAGTATGGATGCTTGTAATATATTTCTTTTATACGAAAGTTTAATAAATCTTAATAATAAAATAGATCTTCTTACTATTCATGATTGTTTTGGTTCTCATGCTAATGATATAAATACATTAAGTATTTTAGTTAAAAATGCTTTTGTTTCTATTTATAAAAATGATAAGTTTCTTAAGAAATTTCATAAAACAAATGTAGATTGTATAAAATCTATTGTAATAGTAAAAAAAGGTAAATTTACAATAAATGATAAACCTTATACTATTCCTACGCCTCCTAAAATACAAAACATAAATTTAGAGTATCATTTGCCTAAATCTTTATATTTTCTTAATTAAAAAAAAAATAAAAAAATTAAAATATTATTTTTTCCCCTCACATCCATAATTTGGAGTGGGGGGTTTTTTTCACTAAAAGCTTTAAGCCAATTTCTTATAATATATTCTCATCTTTACTTATTCATCGAAAAAAACCCCTCTAAGCAATTTAATACTTAGAAGGGAAAAAACGTTGAGTTTTTATTAAACGAAACACAGGCTTTAATAACTTATTATTATTTCAGGTTCAAATCTGATACCCTTTATAATAACAATTACTTTTATATTAAATAAAAAGAAAACTTTTTATTTTTAGGTATAATTAAATTAACACTATATTTTTTTATATATAACTAAAGACACATCTTGATTTTTATATATAACTAAAGATTTATCAATACTATCATACAGTCTAATTAGATTATGTTGTATTATAAATAAATAGTTTATGTATGAAAAATTAGATAAAACAGGCTTATAGATAATCTTACCATCTAATATAGTTAAAGGTTCAGTACCGATCCAATATCCTTTGTAAAATATTTTATTTCTTTTAGAATAAATATTGTTAATATAGATGTCCATATTATCAACATAAACTAATCCACAAGAAAGATCTTTAATCCATCTTTTCTCTGTTAAATCTATAGATTTACCTTTATATAAATCTATAAAATTTGTAGTAGATAATTTATTATTTACACCTTTGTTTTTTCTAATCAATCCTTTTTCAATAGAGTCAATAGAATATACTTTATCTAAAGGGAATAAACCTTTTTTTATAGTATGTTCTAATTTCCAACCACCTAATTTATCAGTAATTAAAGATTTAGGTAGTTTTTTAGCAAATATTCCACAATCTGTATCTGTATATGAACAAGGGTTAGAAGGGTTAAATAAAAAAGAAGACATCAAAATACGAGCCCAAGAAGTTATAGCTACTCCTATAGGAATTGAAGATATACTATCATGTTGAGAATTTACAGATTTAATTAACTCCAAACCGTAATCGACATTATAATCATTACATTGTTCTACATCTGGTAATGCAGAGTATCTAACAAATACTTTATCGTTTTTATATTTTATATATTCTTCTACATTATGAGTTAATAATAGATGTTCCGCTGTTTTTACATCTACAACATCTATAACAGTTTTAAAAAATTTAAGAGCCCATCTACCATAAGAACTATTCATTATAAGTTTATAAATAGCTCTTTTACTATCTTTACTAGTTCGTTTTTTTTCATATAAATATTCAATGAAATCTTTAAATAAATCATTTGATTTATCAAAAATATAAGAATGGTGTACTGTAACTTTAACACCATAAAATTGAGCATTCTTTAATTCTTCTGAAAAGAACCAAGCGGTCCACTTTCCTTTAGGAAATATTAATTGACCATCTTCAGTTCTAAAAGGAAGAATAGGGTCTGCATGTTCTGGTACGATAACAGTTGCATAAACAATACCAAATAATTGATTTAAATCTGTATTAGTAGAGAAAATAGGAGAACCAACAGGCATAGGCATTATCATAGCCCAAGGATATATACTATTTATATCGTACATATAAGATTTTATAGAAACAATTGGGTTAAAAACTTCAACTCTACCACCATATAAAGCATTTCTTATATCTTTATGAACTTTACGATTATTTATTATAGGAATTATATTATCAGATTTCAAATAATTACTAGTAAAAATTTTCATGGCTAACGAAGAGATACTAAATAGTTTTGTAATATTAAGTCTATATTTTTCATAAATCAATTTGCTAAAAATCATTAATACTTGATGTAGTCCTATTAAATCACTATCTAAATATTTAAAACACTCTTCTTTTAAATTCCAAGAATTAGGATTTTCATTCTTTAATATAGAGTATTCATCAAATGAAATATCCTCTTTATTAAAAGTAGAATAATCTGGAAATTCTCCTATATAATTTAAATTAGAAGAGTTTGGAAACATATAAGGAAAAATACCTTTTATTTTTTCAACTTTAAATTCTTCTGTTAAGTCACGCAATGGTTGTGCTAATAATTTATAAGAATCTCTAAATTTTAAAGTTACCCCTTTAAATTTTTTAGATTTATCTTTATATATAGGATTAAACACTTTAATATCAAATCCTATAATTTTTGAATCTTTACCTGTAAATTTTTGTTTACCTATAAGTTCTACATCATTAAATTCTTTAATGACATCTACTATAAAAATAAAATCAAATTTACCACCACAATGAACATAAATAGTAAAATCATTATATTTAGGTTTAGCCATTTCAAATATACAAGCTTTAAGCATATCTTTATAATTATCAAAATCTGATAAATAAAATTTATAAGATGCTTGACCATCATAAAAACCACAAGCAAAAGGAATAAACATTTTCAAATCTTTTTCAGATTTATTTTCATTAATATTTAAATATTTAAAATATTCTTTATTAATAGGATGTAAAAAAGCTTCTATGTCAAAAGTAATTATTTTATTTTTAACTACTAATTCACGAGAAGTTGGTTTAACAAATTTAGTATTAAACGTTTTTTCAATAAATAATACATTTTCTTTATGATCTATTTTAATATATAAATCGTTTACATTTCTAATAAAATAATCACCGAAATTTTCATCTGTAAATTCTAAAATTTTAATATCTGTTTTATCATAAACCTTAACATTTAATGTATTAATATCAATTTCTTGAATTACAAATCTAGTATCTTTATTCATAAAAGTTCCTATTTTTAAATTATCATCTCTATTAATTAAAATACCATATTTTGAAATATCCATACTAAAAGGTATATTTTTACTTTTAAAATAATTAGAATTAAAACCTAAACTAGATTTTATATCTTTTGGAATAAAATGTATTCCTTTTATTTTTTTATCCAATGGATTATCTAAAGCTGCATTAAAAGGAAAATATTCAGCTATAATAGTTGAAGAAGTGGAAACTTCATAAAAAGACTCCCAATAATTTAAATTATTATTAATTCTATTAATGATAATATCAGGATCGATATTTTTGTTTAAAACAATTTGTTTATCAGCAGAAATAAATCCACCGTCGGTAGAAAGTACTCTGAAGAACACAGCATATAATTGGGAATCTTGAAGATTAGATAAAAAAGTTATAATATTAGATCTAAATGAAATACCATCCGCGGGGCCTAGATTATAATATTTTTTAAATTTTTTCCCTTCAAGGGAAATATTTTTATCAATCTTAATATCTTTAAGATAAAGAAAGTTTTCTTTATTATTAACATCTATATTTAATAAAGAATTAAATAATTTATCAGAATCAAATATAGATAAAGAAAAGGAAGAAGTAGAAAAGCACAAGCTTTTTTTAGAAAAGGAAAGATTTTTAAGGAATAAAGTTTTTTGTAATAATTTTGTTAACATATTTTTTTTTATTTTTTATTTAACTTCGGGCCAAATTTGCATACCGACAGCATGGTGTTTAATATTGGTGTTTGTAGATCGGCATAAGCGGATCAAAGGTAAGAAGAAGTAATAATAAAATTATTATTGCATTCAATAAGGATACTAATAAAGGTTATAAATATTAAATTCTAATAAGAGATAAAAACGATTACTAAATTACTAAATTTTAGTAGTAAAATTAGTTAATGAATTTCCAGCTAACAAGAGAATCCGTTGGTGCCTTTAATAAAAAAAGGCATTAATAAGTTAGTTCTCTCACGCCTTCCGTCATTTAAATAAAGGATAATTCATCGTTTAACGATCCAATGAATTGGACTTCAATCTTCGGGATTGCCCGAAGACATCAGCCCCGTCGCCAAGCGGCTTAGGGGTCGAACGCATATTTTTTTTTTTTTATCCATTTAAATACATATTGAATAACATTCAAGGATGCTTTATATAATCATATCTCTCTATAAGAGAGGTAGTATTTTTAATCAAGGCTCTTTATACTATGCCTATTAATTTATCATCTGCATTAACCCAAAACATAGAGTTAACGTCAATAATTTTATTAATATTTTCATCAACCCATTCTAATCTATGTAATTTAGACATTTTATCTTTACCAAAAGAATTAGCACAATAAATTTTTAATGCTTCTAATCCAAGATCGTCTAATTTTACAGATTTACTGAATGTTAATAAAGATCGGCTTAATTCACCTCCTTGGATATTTAAAACTCCTCCTTTAATATAGATTCTACCACGCCAATCTAATTTTAAAGGGAAATAAAATTCTTTAATATCTTTATATAAAATAGCCATAGTTAAAATAGATTTATTATATAAAAATTTACTATTATGAGACGTAATATTATAAATAATATTTTTAAAATCATTAATATTACTATGTAATTTTTTTTTAGAGTTATTTTTGTTATTAATACATTTATTAAGTTCTTTTTTATAACTATCTAATAATTCTGTTTCTGGATGAAATGATAAACATAGATCATTTATAATTTTTTTATTTGATTCAATATTATCATGGTTTAATATTAATTTTATTAGATATTCTAAAACATTATTGTTTAATTTAAAAGGAATACTAGACATATAATTAACCATACTAACGATATTATTATCCAATATAATAGAAGTACCTATACTTTGTTTTGATTTACGAATTAATTCTTCAAAATCGTTTTTATCATTTTGTAAATAACCACCATATTTAATTGTTTTATTTTTACTATCTTCTGAAGACTTAACAATGCTTTTAATAACCCATTCAACAGGTTTTACAATCATAGGGGCTTCATAACTGTCAAACAAAACAAACTTATGCATTAAATCTTCAAATAGTTTTCCAGGAGAGATAATTCTTTTAGTAACATTAGAATCAGATTTAATATTATCAATAAAATATAAATCAGTTTTATCTCCAATAAACATTACAACAAAAGCCCCTAATCTAATAGCATCTTCATTTGAATAGTTATAATTATCTAAATGATAATCTTTATAACTAATTTTACTTTCTTTATCAGATAGAGAATTTACATAATTTATATAATTATTTTTAATAACTTCTTTATAAAGAAGTATTCCAATAGACTCAAAGAGAGTAGTAACATGTTTATCAAAATCTTCATTTTTAAATACTATAAATGGAAGAACTTTAGATAAACAAATAGAAATAATACTACTAATTTCTAAACAAGATATAGGTTTAAGATATTCCTTTCTATTCATAATTCTATTATTAGAAAATAATGAATTAAAATCTTTTTCTAATATAGATAATACTTCAACTAGAATATAGATACCTTTATTATCTAAAGATTTAGCATTTTGGAAATATTGTTTTAATTCATATTCCCAGAGCTCTTTAAAACATGTTTCTAACAGATTTTGTTTAACATGTAAATCCAAAGATGTTGAATATAAAATATTTTTTATTCTATAAAAACCATTACTTCCAAAATTGTTAGGGTCAAACTGATTAATAGGAATTTTTCCATTTAATTTTGTATAAAAATCCATAGTACTATAATTTAAATCATTACTAGTATTTAGATCGTTATTATTATTATTATTATTTAATTTATTAATAGAATTTGCTTTAAACAATGTACCAAAAACAATTATATTGTCAATAACATTAAAATTTTCAAATTCATTTATATCTTTTATAAATAGTGAAGAATTTTCAATTAATAAACCAACACAAATTAAAGATACAATAACAGAATAAATTAATATAAACAACCAAAACCAAAGCATGAAAGTATTATATGATTTATATAATGTCAATAGTTTAAATAAATATTTATAATTATTAAATTTATTAATAAGAATATCTCCATATTTTAAAACAACGATATTAATAATTAACCAAATGGAAGCTACTAAAGAAAACCATAAAAACATATATACGCAATATTGTAATTCCATAAAAGGATTATCACTAAATACAGGTAAAAATCCAGTATTTTCAGATATTGAGCTAATGACAATATCACTATTATTAGCAGCATTATCTAACACATTTTTATTAGAATTAAATTTACTTAAAACTATTTGATCTTGATTAACTCCTACTTTTAAATTTTGATCATTAAAAACAATATTAGATTCAGCTGAAACATTTGACATTTGTGGAAGGTCTTTAAGAGTAGAATTTAGTGATAAATCTACATTTTTTTTATTAGATTTTTCTATATATGATCTAAAATTTTTTATACCTTCACTAACAATATATGACCCACTAGATACTCCTGTAAGAACACCAAGACCTAGCAATCTTTGATGTGGCGGTAAAGTTTTTAAAACTGATGTAGAAGCTTTACCAGCTGCTAAAATAACACTAGCACCACCAACATATTTTAAAACATCATTAACATTAACAGTTAAACTAACAGGTGGTTTAGGATCATCAGAACAATAAACAATGTTATAGTACATTGATATAAAAATATAAATAGAATAAAATAAAATAATAAATAATAATAAATTATATTTATTATTTTTATTTATTTCAGTAGAAAAGCACAAGCTTTTTTTAGAAAAGGAAAGATTTTTAAGGAATAAAGTTTTTTGTAATAATTTTGTTAACATATTTTTTTTTATTTTTTATTTAACTTCGGGCCAAATTTGCATACCGACAGCATGGTGTTTAATATTGGTGTTTGTAGATCGGCATAAGCGGATCAAAGGTAAGAAGAAGTAATAATAAAATTATTATTGCATTCAATAAGGATACTAATAAAGGTTATAAATATTAAATTCTAATAAGAGATAAAAACGATTACTAAATTACTAAATTTTAGTAGTAAAATTAGTTAATGAATTTCCAGCTAACAAGAGAATCCGTTGGTGCCTTTAATAAAAAAAGGCATTAATAAGTTAGTTCTCTCACGCCTTCCGTCATTTAAATAAAGGATAATTCATCGTTTAACGATCCAATGAATTGGACTTCAATCTTCGGGATTGCCCGAAGACATCAGCCCCGTCGCCAAGCGGCTTAGGGGTCGAACGCATATTTTTTTTTTTTTATCCATTTAAATACATATTGAATAACATTCAAGGATGCTTTATATAATCATATCTCTCTATAAGAGAGGTAGTATTTTTAATCAAGGCTCTTTATTTTATTCTCTCTCTTTTTTT